GCAGCCTGAGCCTCGTCCAGGGCGACAGCAGTGCTGTTGGGGTCGATGTGGAGTTGCGTGGTGGCAGTGTGACCAACGTGGACACAGCGCAGAAGGTGAAGATCATCGGTTCTGGGAACGCGCAAGGAGCGGGAGGCGACGTGTCCATTGATGGGGGGTTGTCTGCGTCCACTGTGGGTGGTGCGGTGCTGTTGACAAGCGGCGGTGGTGCTGTGAGCAGCGGTGACGTGCGTGTGTTCACGAGCGTCATGTCCGGCGGTTCGAGCGGTGGCATCGAGGTGCGCACTAGCGCTAGCAGCGTGTCTAGCGGGTTCATTCGTATCGGCAGCGGGTCCGGTGATGCTAGTACTGGCTCGATCGAGGTGTCTGGTGGCTCGTCCATGAATGGTGAAGGCTCCGCGGTGTCTGTGTTGGGCGGTGCGTCGGGGTCGTTGACAGGCGGCAGCGTGACGATCTTGAGCGGCGACGGTTTGGCATCAGAGAGTGGGTCGGTGACGCTCGGGTCTGAAGGCGGCGCAAGCACGACTGTGAGCGGGTCGGTGTCGCTGTTGAGTGGGTCGACGGCAAGCGGTTCGTCTGGCGCTGTAGCTATCGCGTCTGGCGCGTCGCATGCTCTGTCGAGCGGGTCGGTGAGCGTGTTCGGTGGCGAGGCTGCAGGTACCGGTGGGCTTGTGAGCGTCACCGGCGGTAGTAGCACTGTTGCTGCGGGTGGTGCGTTGGCTTTGGCCGGTGGTGCTGGTGCGATGGGAGGCAATGTGAGGGTGTCTGGCGGCGAGAGCGTGTCGGGCCCTGGTGCGTCAGTGGAGTTGCGAAGCGGAGAAGGCTCGAGCAGCAGTGGCGATGTGCGGCTGCGGAGTGCAGATGGCGTGGTGTCGGGCGATGTGCATGTCTTGTCCGGTTCGGCGACGAGCATCAGCTCATCCGCAGGAAGCATCAACTTGTGGGTTGGTTCTTCGGTGGCTGACGGCGGCGATGTTGACGTGCGCAGTGGGACCAGCTCTGAATCCGCGGCAGGTGACGTGTTGCTGACGGGCGGAGCTTCCTTGTTGTCGACATCGCCTTCTACAGGAGCTGTGGCAGGCGCCGTTCGACTAACCGGTGGCAGTTCTGCTGGAGACAATGCCGGTGGCGAGGTATTTGTGTCAGGTGGTGCTGGTGTCGCTAAGGGCGGGTCGGTGTCCGTGTTAAGCGGAGGAAGAGACGATGCATCCGCTGTCAGTGGCGACGTAACGGTGGGTTCGACTTCTGGTAGTGCCAGCGGGTCCGTGGATGTGATGAGTGGCGCTTCGGGAACAGACGCGTCTGGCGGCGTGACGTTGGGCAGTGGGGACTCGAGCGACAGTACGTCGGGGTCCGTGTCCGTGGTTAGTGGCAGTAGTACCGTATCGAGTGGTGGCTCCGTGTCGATGCGTGGCGGAAGCAGCGGCGGTTCGTCTGAGGGTGGTTCTGTGTCGCTTGAGAGCGGTATGGCGAGCGCGAACAGCGGCAGCATTACGGTGTCCAGTGCAGCTGCGACTGACTCCAGCTTGAGCGGCAACGTGGACATTGGTACGGGCAGCGCGGAATCTGATACTTCTGGTTCGTTGTCGGTTGTGTCCGGCGTCAGCGGAAGTGGATCGAGTGGGTCTGTGGTCGTGGCTAGCGGCATGGCTAGCTCGTCCGATGCAGGCAGCGTGGAGATCCGTGGTGGGTCAACCGGCGGCTCGAGTGCACGCGGAGGCTCTGTGACCGTGTCGTCTGGCGAGGACGGCGTGGTGAGTTTGTCTAGCGGTGTTCGTCGCAGTGCTAACGGCGGGAAGGTCGAGATTGTGGCCGGAGCTGGCACGACCAGCAGCGTGGGTGGCGGGTCGGTGAGTGTTCGAGGTGGCTCTTTGAGTGCATCTTCGGGCCTTGGAGGCGACGTTGCCTTGTCCGGTGGTGCGGCGTCGACGGGCGCGGCGACTGGAGGCGTTGTTTCTCTTGACGGCGGCGTGAGTGAGGCTGGCGTCGGTGGTGGCGTGTCCATTTCGTCTGGCGCGGGCTTGCTGGGCAGCGGTGAGATGACCGTTGTGAGCGGTGCTTCTGCGATCGGCGACGCCTTGAGCGGCTCGGCTACGATCGGAAGTGGCGAGTCCGTGGATGCTGCGTCGGGTGTGGTGACGCTGTCTTCGGGGTCTTCGGCAGCGGCTAGCAGCGGTGATGTGTCTGTGCAGTCTGGCGATGCGTTTACGGCAGCGGGTCGTGTGTCTGTATCGGGAGGGTCTAGCAGCTCTTCGACGGGCGGTGCGGTGTCTGTGACGAGCGGCGTGGGCAGCGACGTGAGCGGCCTTGTGTCGATTGAGAGTGGTGCTGTAAGTGCTGCATCTGCGTCCGGCGATGTGTCGCTTGTGTCGGGTGGCGCAGTGGATGGCAATTCCGGTGCTGTGCGTATGTCTAGCGGCTCTAGTGACACAGGGCCCGGTGGGATGGTGAGTGTTGTGGGCGGCTCTAGCGGCACGGCGGCATCGGGAGGCAATGTTCTCGTGGGTGGCGGTGGGTCGTACACGGGATCTTCCGGATCCGTGGACGTGAGCGGTGGTTCTTCGTCGTCGAGCGGGTCTGGCGGAGCTGTTCGTGTATCTGGCGGCTCGTCATCGAGTGGCGTCGGTGGTGATGTGACTGTGTCGAGCGGCGACTCCGGAAGCAGTGCGTCCGGCAGCAGCGTGTTTGTCCGCAGTGGTTCTGGCGGCAGCCTGAGCCTCGTCCAGGGCGACAGCAGTGCTGTTGGGGTCGATGTGGAGTTGCGTGGTGGCAGTGTGACCAACGTGGACACAGCGCAGAAGGTGAAGATCATCGGTTCTGGGAACGCGCAAGGAGCGGGAGGCGACGTGTCCATTGATGGGGGGTTGTCTGCGTCCACTGTGGGTGGTGCGGTGCTGTTGACAAGCGGCGGTGGTGCTGTGAGCAGCGGTGACGTGCGTGTGTTCACGAGCGTCATGTCCGGTGGTTCCAGTGGTGGCATCGAGGTGCGCACTAGCGCTAGCAGCGTGTCTAGCGGGTCCATTCGTATCGGCAGCGGGTCCGGTGATGCTAGTACTGGCTCGATCGAGGTGTCTAGCGGCTCTTCCGTGAATGGTGAAGGCTCCGCGGTGTCTGTGTTGGGCGGTGCGTCGGGGTCGTTGACAGGCGGCAGCGTGACGATCTTGAGCGGCGACGGTTTGG